GCATGAAAAATGAAAATTGATTGAGAAACAAAAACAAAATTAGAAACGAAAACTAAATGGGTAAGCAATAACAGAAGCTTTCCATCTATGTAGCACTGATATCGATACGGGACACGTGACACGATACGACATGACACTTCGACACGTTAATTCTAAAAAATGTTAGATTTCGACACGTTAGGACAAGTTTTGATATTAAATAATATTTTTAAATTATTTAATGTATATTATATTAATATTCAATAATTTAACAAAAAAATGAATCTAAACTTATAATATTCATAAATTTTGCAAAGAAACATAAGATATCCCAAATATTTATATTAAACTCAATAAAATGATAATCGGAACCCAACGAATCTAATAGTTGGAACTAAAAACTCAATGCAATGCAACCTTTGCACCTTTTTTTGAATTTCTATAACGCGTGTTGAAGTGTCGGAGTGTTCGAAAGTGTCGGGAAGTGTTGGACATGACACGTCAAGATTTTTGAGGTGTCGGTGCTTCATAGTTTTCCATCCCAAGTTAGGCTAAAAAAAACAATAGTATATACCATTAATGGGATTTTAATAGAAAAACGTAAACTAAATGAAAATGGAAACGACATAAAAAATGGAAATTAATTGATAAACAGAAACTAAATAAGAAACAAAAACTAAATGAGTCAGCAAAACCAGAAGTTTTCCATCCCAAGTTAGGCTCAAAAAATAATAGTAGATACCCTTAATGGGAACTACATGAAAAATGTAAGCTAAATTAAAACAAAATCTATATTCAAAAGAAAATTAATTGAGAAACGAAAACTAAATGAGTCAGCAAAACCAGAAGTTTTCCATCCCAAGTTGGGCTTAAAAAAATAGTATATACCCTTAATGAGAACTAAATGAAAAATGAAAACTCCATCTCAAATGAAAATTAAATGAGAAACGTAAACTAAATGAGAAATGAAAATTATATGCAAATCAAAAATTAAATAAAAAATAGAAACATCCATCTAATGAGTCAAGCCCATATCATAAGCCCCACTTGCTGACTCGGCTGACTCATTAAATAAGATACATCAATTTATTTGTTGGCCAAATTTTTTGTTTCAATATCTATTGAAATGGCTACGAGATTTGATTTCATCCATGATTTGACAATATCTAAAGAGCAATGGAGGATCAAAATTAGGGTTATCAGACTCTGGAGGTAGCCCTACTTTTATCGACTCGAGATGGGAGACAATGTCAAGATGATTTTAATAGATGAACATGTGAGTTTTGTTACGCACGTCTATCGTGCATATTAGTTTTTTTTAATTCCTATAACTATTAAACATTGCTTATAGGTCCTCATTTTTGTAATAACGGGGTTGTAAGATTTTGGGAACTGTATAGGATTCCCTGAGGATAAGAGATCAACTAGCGAAAAGTGGAATGTATGTCATACGAAACTTTGGTGTTGGCCTTAATTCTGAAAAATTTAAGCCAACTCAACATGAGTACAAGCTTACTTTTAATCTAAGAATTGTTGTGACACCGAGTGTCGATGCCAACCTTCCTAACAATGGTTTTTCATTCATGGAAGTTGAGGATGTTAAAAAGTATCCTAATGACACTGCGTATTCAGTTGTAATGTCTTCTTCTATTTCTTCAACGCATTATTAGTCATCTATAACAACTAATGAAAATCAATGTTTGGCGATGTTATTGGATTTCTATGTGGAATCATTGATTCGAAGGAACACATGGTATCTGGAAAGAGGACGAAGATGATAGTCATAGAGGTGGACAATCTCAGGTGTTTTTTTTTATATTTATAGGGATGAGATAATGTCAACCTTGTTGTATTTATAAACTTATATGTTGAACTGCTTCCGTTCTTTGTATCTTAAGGGGTACGAGACTTGAACGTTGTCTGTGGGAGAGCTATGCAGAAGAGGTTATTAAATATCAACCAACCCGGAGATCATCGTCATTCAATTTGCTCGAATGAAAAAAATTTATGGATAATATTGTCTGCAATGATTCCAGTTGTTATTCATGTTTTATCTGTTTATATATATAAAAATTACATTACTTTATTGTTTGTATTGTTTGTATGTAGGTAAAATGGGACTGTCCATGACAATAAATAAGAGTCAAGGTCAAACTTTATCTCATGTAGGAATTTATCTTCTAGGACCAATTTTAACTCATGGCCAATTGTATGTTGCTCTCACTAGGGTCAAAAGTAAGAAGGGGTTAAGGTTTCTCACACTTGACGCTCATGGCACAGTTGCCAATACTACAACAAACATTGTGTTAAAAGAAATTTTCCAAAGGTTGAAATAACACTACAAGAAAAACGGTCTTTAGTTACGATTATTTAGCCACTGGAAAAAAAATTAAAAAATCGGAAAATCTGCAACTAATTAGAAGAATGTAGCAAATCGCAACTCACGCTAAATAAGCAATGCTAATTGATTAGAGAGATACCTTATACTTTCTCCTGTCTCGCTTACGCATTTTGATTGCTCTCTTCATCTATGTATTTTATCTTTGCTCCATTTCTAATTTTTGTTTTTCTAGGTTAATTTCATTCTTCCATTTACTTGATTTTATTTTTGCTTTTCACTATTTTGTTGTTAAATTTAAAGTTTTGTGATTCTTGAGAAGGTGACCTAGTGGGAAGCTTTGGAAAATGCGATTGAAGTTAAATTTGAAACCATTTGATCTCGTGGTTATGACTAATTGTTGTGAGACTTTGTGCCTATCTTGTAACAATGATTAGTTTGCGTCTGGAACTTAAATTTGAACTCTGCTGCTATAGTGAATATATGTTAGTCCATTAAGGTGGACTGTAGCTAAGCAGAACTTGAGCACCAAGTGTTTGAAAGATTGTCTTATGCGTATGTGAACTCAGCTTGATTATATTTGATACTCAAATTAGGTATTCTCGAGATTTGAATTCCAATTGTCTTTGTGTGTAGTCTTTGTTAGGCCTTCAATTGAATCAAATTCCATGTTTTCTTGTTTCTTGAATTGGCAAATGAATTTTGATATGAGTTTTGCAAACGGTATATTTCTTTGTTACTTACATTGAGTTAGAATTGTTGCAGGCTCTCGCAAGATGTTTTTACTTTCTGAGTTTTCTTTATAGCGTGATTAAGAATGTGGAACTAACGACTTGGATAAAAGCATGCCTCTTGCTGTTTCTTTGGCTACTTTAATAGAAGGTAACTCCTTATTAAGTTTATTTCTGCGATTGAATTTTGCTTATATAACCTTAATATGATGGTTGCTATTCTTTGTATGGAATAGGGCTTAGTTCTATGTAGCCTTAGCACCATGCACACTTTCAGTAAAAGCTATTCTTTTTTATATGTTTCAAGTGGAAAACTCATACAAATCAGATGTTTTCTCCTTACATTTGTAACTAAAAAATCATCATAATGTATATATTCATGAAAGAGAGGTTTCTCTGTTTCTTTTCTCTTTCTGTGGGAGAGCAAGGTGCAATGGAACAACTCTTAACTGTATCTATCTTGTCATCATAGGTAAGGTCTTTCCTCACACGTGCTTTGAAGGAAGAAAATTTTGATTTTGTGGTTTGTCCAATGCTCCATAATGAGTGTGATCCAAATAAGGTGACTCGCATGATAGCATTTATCGCAGCTTCCATACAATGTTCAACACTGTGGTTTAATTCTTTTAATAAAGTGTTTTGACTCTTTTGCTAAATAATTATTCACTCTCTTCTTTTTTCTTACAATTGGGTGAAAGTTCTCGTGTTGTAAGATACATACTTTGTACTTTGTAAGCTTACATTTGTATAGAAATATATTTTGATATTTGTTTTATTTCCTTGGATCAGTAGCAATATAGGAACTTCAAAATTGATTCGGACGTTGTTATTTTTTTTAATACAGTGGACACGATTAGCCACGGTTGTTACCATGGCTAATATTGAGATTAAATGTAGCTAAAAAATTGTTACCACACTCAAAATCATCGTGGCAAAGAGCAAAAATAGTTGTGGCAAAATTAATGCGACGCCAGTTTCACGCACGGGCTGTGGAAGCATGGTCAAATCACTTAGCTACGGGTTTAGTCATTGTTTGCCACGTTTTTTACCTTGGGAAAACCCCATATTTTTTGTAGTGTAAGTTAATTTGTCTTATTTGTTGAACTACTGTACATTAATTTAAAGAGTTTGCTATTTCACTATAATATATAATGTACATGTAATTTTACTGTTTATTTACTTTTATTTTATACTTTTTACTTACTATCGTCCCGTGCGAAGGCAGGGGTTATAGACTAGTTAAATTTGTGGTTCACTATTAATTAGCTGCTCAAATGGTGAAGATAATAGTAATTTCCAAAGTGAGAATACATGATACATATAATTATGTACTAGTTGACCTATAATCAAGCTGTACCATTTAAAATCAGAACGAATAAACGGATTTTGTTTTCTGTAAATGTTTACAGAAACCACTAATTTTTAAGGATTTTGATTTCCAGTGTCAATGCTCACTTTAACATATTTACGGAAAATATATATATATATATATATATAGAGGGTTCTTTTGATTTCATAGTAAGACTTTTAAGTCTTACTTCCCATCTCAGCCGTTGATGGACAAAAATCAACGGTTATAATTTATAGTGTAATTAATAATTAATTAATTAATATAGCTTTCTAAACTATAACCGTTGGATGGACGGAAATCAATGGCTAAGATGGGAAGTAATATTTATAAGTCTTACTTTGGAGTCAAATGATATATCTCCTATATATATCTCGTAAGGTAAAGTCCATTTAAACAAGAATCGAGTTCATGTATATTTATATCTCTCTAAGAATTATTTGGGCTTAAAGTATGTATATTGTATAAATCCATTTTTTGGTTGACTTAATTCTGTTGAGGATCGAACTCGTGACCCATAATTACCTTGGTTCTTATACTATGATAAACAACCAATTCAACTCAACCACTTAATCTTGGAATTGGTGGTCTTTGAAGATAAGGTCTATCTATAGTCAGGAATAAGATGAAGTGGTAAGAGCTTCTTCCATCTTTCGATCTCCTCCTCATTGTGAAGCTTTCTAATTCCTCCATAGTATCCGGCTGGTTCTTCATATTGTTCCCCGTTTCTGAGTAGCTTTATTCCTCTCATGCTTGACCCTTGAGAGTATTGTTTGAACTCCACAATCAACGTCTCTGTCACCAAAGAAAATTATAAGCATATAAGGTGCTCATCTAATAATAACTCAATTATAATAAAGACTACTGATATAATTTGTAATCATGTCATCATAGGGGTAAAATTTCAAGGTTTCCAAACTAATATGATGAAGTTATTAATCGTTCAGCCTCAAGATCCACAAATAGCAGAGTAAATTATGTCCTGCAACTGGGTCATTTTCATAATTAACCGGAATGAAAAATTATCGAATTTTTGGAATAATCAAATTAAGAGTTTAATTGAACACGATAACACATGAAATTTAATGCAGTAAAATACGAGACAAACCAAATAATGCAACAAAATATCTCACCGCAGTAACGACAGCGGCAGTCATTCTCGTTCTCATTACATGAGTCCATGTGACCAATAACACCATACCACCAATCTGCAAATCATATGGAATAGAAGTTAACATGCAATAATACAAAAGATAATGAATACTGTATATGAACTTGATGCTAACTTAAATGTCCTATTAAAGTTTCAAACTTCAAATTGGATAAAGCGAAGTGGCGGTGGCAAGAAAACTACCATAATAATTTTGTCTTAAATTCCAGTGGATCTCAATATGATCTCCTGGCTTTAAGTCTTCTAAACAATCAGAGACGTATCGAACACATGGAGAGGTTTCAACTGGGCAAGCTCTTAGCTTCTCCCATTGGATGTTGTTCCCCATTCGTAGCCAACCACCATTTTGTTGCCTAAAGGAAATTATGCATTAAATCACAAGGTCTCATACTCAAATTTATTCACCAAACAAATTAAGTCACTAAATTTATTATTAAATGGGTCTTGTTAACTTGGCCCACGCTAAGATGCATTTATTTATTTGTACTAAATCATCTTATTTTACCCCCCCAAAAAAAAAAATTAAATATTTTGGAATTTTTAACATTAAATGTTTCGATTTTTTATTTAATTTTTGATACTGTGATTTGTTATTCTCATGTTAAAAAAACCTTACTTTCTACCCAAAAAAAAAAAAAAAAAACCTTCCTAAATATTAATTGTAAAATGTGAAAAGGGATTTAAACTAGATTTTATGGTAAAAAACGTGGGTATTAAGAATTAAACTACCAGTTGTGCTATTATAGTATTATGTGCTGTGTTGGGAAAGCAAAACTGATTTTAGCGAAAGACTCTTCATAATCTATAAACTTTGAAATTGTTAAAATCTTTTATATAATAGAGTAGCAGAAGTTCAGTATTAGACAATGCCATTCTCCCCTTACCTTGCTTGAAAGGTATCAGTTTTGGAATCATAGCAAACCAAGGCGTGGCTAACCAATAATCCCTGAAACAAGGAAGATAAAGAATTTCTCAGTGAAAATAATAACCCATGCATAAAAGTTGAAAATAGCTAATTGGAGGTACATAACTTATGTAAGTCAATAAGCAAAAAAATATTCAAATATAGCTATTATGATTTTTTTTTGAAAAAAACAAAATTTGGATTTTTTTTGGACCGGGCCGGGTCACCGGTTAACCGACTGGGTCATCGATTTTTATAAAAACCGGCCGGGTCGGACCAGTTCTGATGCATAGCCTATCCGTTGTTTCAACCGGACCGGTTATATAACCGATTTACCGGTTCCCGGATCGACACGGCCGGGTCGGTCCGGGTTTAATAACTATGTTTTTTCGGTAATTTATATTTACATGACTATTTTATTGTGGGTTTTGAATAATCGTCAACAACAAGGTCGATTGTGACTATATGACATGTTATTTTTAGGATAATGTAAGACTCAAATCTTGTGTATCCTTTCTTGAGTAATGCCAACTAGGAAACATAATATTATGCCAACTGTCACACGTTTAATGACAAAACTCTTAAATGAATAAAATAATATGGTAATTTAAACTGTTGATCGTTATTTGTCAATGAATATATAATTGAAATTTTTCACAGAACATGATAAATGATTCATTCTCCACAATTCGTTTCTTGGCATTATTTTATTGATATACAGAGAAAAGAAACAAGTAATGTGTGATGGTACAAGTAGAAGGGACTTAGGTCCATAAAATATGTAATTTAGGGATCGATAGTCTCTCACATAAAAGATAGGGATATTCTGAGAAAAAATTAACAGAGAAAAGAGATAAAAGATATGGAGAGAAATTATTAGCTAATTTAATACCAAAAACTCAAATGGAGCTAAATAAGTTTTGCTCACGAAGCGATTGTTCTACACATGGGGGATTGAGATCTGTTAATTTTGCCGTTATTGGTCATTACTCATTATAGAGCATACTTGTCAAAAACTGGTTTGCACTTTGCAATAATACTTCAAAAAAAAAAAAAAAAAACCATCGACATGATTAGAAATATTTTTAAAAGAGTCACAGCATAAGATACTATATTATTTTGGGAAATTATTGCCAAGTTATCAATAATAACGTGGAAAACTAAACCACATGTCATATATTTATTGGGATAGGATACTATGGCTACTTTTTTTTATACTTATTCTTCTTACTCATCTTCAATACTATTAGATCAGAATCTCAACTAACATTCATCTTTTCTTAAAATTCTGATCCGATGATGTTGAAAAATAATAAGTAGAGTAGATATGAAAAAAATAAAAATAAACACAATATCATATCTCATATTTATTTTGGTAGTGAAATACTTGGCACTTAATGCTAAAACGTATACAAAATTGAATTCTTTACTTGGTTTTATGGCTAAATGAATTCAAATTACATTTTTCTTAATAATTCTGCTACATTCCATAGCTCAAATAATTGAAGTACTTATCATTCAATTATTAAGTCAAATGATAAACCACGGTTTATAGTATCGAATTTTTTATCATATATATATAGCAACGAACCATAATTGCTAGCTGTCGCAGGTCTCTATCTCTGTCTCTAATATGACATAATTTTACCTAATTACATTATAAACAAGCGATACTTATCAATCTTCATTAAAACATTGCATAACGATTTGGAATCTTTCAATCTCCTCTTCACTGTGAAGCTTTCGAATTCCTCCATAGAATCCCACAGGATTTTGTCCTAGTTTCCCATTATTGTTTCTGAATAGCTTTACTCGTCTCGAGCTTGAACCATGTCGGTATTGCCTGAACTCTACGATCAATGTCTCTATAAATCAAGAAAGCAAAATTAAACACATACAACTGTAAAGGCGCTAATGTAAAATTTCACATTTGGAATGAATAATCATTTGTTTAGAATAATCCAATTAAATGATAAGCTAAACATAAAGATTTGTCACCAGAATTATGGCAGCCACAGTAATTCTCATTCTCATTACATGAGTCAAAGTGACCAATAACAGCATACCACCAATCTGCAAATCATTCATTAGACATTACTTTGTGATATTTGATAAACTTTATGTAATATTGAGAAAGTTATCAAATATCACATCAGATTAGAAAAAGTAACATGCAGTACAAAAGAAAATTGATACTTGAAACCTACATAAATCTGATCCTATTGTTGTTTTCAACTTAAATTTGATAGAAGAGACTTAGAAACATACCATAGGGAAGCTCAATGCTGCCTTTCCATTGGATCTCAATATGATCCCCTGGCTTTAAATCTTCAGAACAATCAGAGACGTGACGAATACATGGAAGGGTGTTAATTGGGTGAGATCTCAGCTTATCCCATTGGATATTGCTCCCTATCAACCTCCAACCACCACTTTGTTGCCTGAAAGCACTTTTACATTTGATCACAACTAGCCATCGTATCATACTTAAATTAACTAACTAGACAATAAAAGTAACTGCAATTATTATTAAATTTGACTTGTTAAAAGTGAAAAGGCTAATTAACTCATTGGGAAAGCAAAACTATTAAGTTGCCTGAAATTTTAAGTGTGAGTGATATGATAAGTAGTTAAGTTTCAAAGTGGATAGGAATGAACCAAGGGAGGACAATCTAAAGTTAAAGGATTCATAATTCAAATGGTTTGAGGTTTTGGATTAACATTTAATATCCAACCAACTTATCCTTGTCGATTATGGACAGTTTGGGTTTTCTACTTGTAGTCCATTGTCATAATATCTGTTGAATATCATGAACAAGGAGATTTATAAGTAATCTGTGTGTTTCAACTACACAACGAAGAGTCTATTATATAACTTAAAAGAAAGAAAATACAAAGAGATATACATGATATGAGACTTCTATACTACTATTCTAAACTATTATTTACAACACTCCCCCTTAAGCTGGAGCATATAGATCATATGCACCAAGCTTGTTACATAAGTGATCTATCCTAGGTCCTCTCAAAGACTTAGTAAAAATATCAGCTAATTGATCAGTTGAGTTAACAAAACTAGTGACTATATCTCCAAAGAGGACTTTTTCTCTGACAAAATGACAATCTATCTCAATGTGCTTGGTCCTTTCATGAAACATTGGATTGGAAGCAATATGTAAAGCAACTTGATTATCACGAATGAGAGATGTTGTGCCAATGTTTTCAAATTTGAGTTCCTTCAATAGTTGTTTTAACCAGATAAGTTCACAGGTGGATGTGGCCATGGAGCGATATTTTGCTTTAGCACTTGATCTGGAAACTACACTTTGTTTCTTGCTTTTCCAAGAAACCAAGTTACCTCCAAGGAATACACAATACCCAGATGTGGATCTTTTATCACTGGGGGAACCTGCCCAATCAACATATGAATATCCCTCAACTCTGGTATGACCTTTGTTTTTATAGAGTAGACCTTTACATGGAGCAATCTTGATGTACTTGAGGATACAGATCACTGCATTCCAATGATCTTCACAAGGAGAATTCAAGACCTGACTTACTACACTGACTGTAAATGAGATGTCTGGTCGAGTAACTGTAAGATAGTTCAGCTTCCCAACCAATCTTCTATACCTTTATGGATCTGAAAATAGCTCCCCCTGATTTGGCATAAGCTTGACATTTGACTCCATTGGGGTATCGACGGGCTTAGCATTCAACAAAGTTGTCTCCTCTAGAATGTCCATAGCATATTTTCTCTGGGATATCACAATACCATCCTTGGATTGAGCCACTTCAATTCCCAAGAAATATCGTAGTCTTCCGAGATCCTTTGTCTAAAAATAATGACTGAGATGTTGTTTTAACTGAGTAATCCCTTGATGGTCATCACCTGTAATGACAATGTCATCAACATTTACCACCAAATAAATGGATCCAGAGTCTAAGTGGCGATAAAAGACTGAGTGATCAGCCGCACTCCGAGTCGTACCAAACTGCTGGACAATGGTGCTAAACCTCTCAAACCAAGCTCGTGGAGACTGTTTGAGACCATACAAAGATCCGCATCTTTCTGGTAGACCCACTTTCTACCGAGTAAAAATATTCCCAGAAACTGTCACCATCGTCAATTTTCGGCCACCGTCAACCACCACTGTCCTCCACCGGAAAAGTCAGAAAAGTTTTCCGACGACCGTTTTGATCAAAAAGTACATCAACGGACTCAGAAGAAGTCAGAAAAGTTTTTCGATCTACCCAACGCCGCAAGACCCACCGTCATCAGACGTTGCCAGCGCCGTGGATCGCCGTTGACCGCCACCACCGATCACTTTTCAGGCACTTTTTCCGGCTAGCCACCCACAGTTATGATCGTCACAACAAGACGGTTCTTTCCGTTCAAGGCCCGCTCCCAAATTCCCACTGACGCACCCTTACGCGCGTGAAACATACGTGCAGCTTCCACCGTCAGGATTGCCCTCTCCTTCCGTGTTAAGATTATTCCTTACTTTGTGGTTTCGAGTCCGTTACGGCCCTTCCGAAGCATTTCTCCTCCTTCCATTACTGTTCACGACATATTTGTTTCAGCGAATTATTCTTGATCCACGACTGATTTTAGCTCGTTTATCCTTCCTCAAGATATTTCTCGGCTCACAATCCCTGGTTCCACTACTACTATTGTGCATACAGGTAATAGCCTTGCTGGTTTCACTCAAAGTTCATCATTTGGTCATTGGATTCTTGATTCTGGTGCCTCTGATCATATTTCTGTAAATAAATGTTTGTTTTCCTCTCTTTCTACCTATGGTTATTTTCCTGCTGTCTCTATGGCTAATGTTTCCAAGGTTCAGTCTCATGGGATTGGAACAGTACATCTCTTTCCCTCCATTACTATTGATAATGTGCTCTATGTCCCTGGTTCACCCTTTAATCTCCTTTCCATTAACCGTTTAATACGTTCTCTTGATTGTCTCATTTCTTTTACCCAAAATTCTGTTGTTTTACAGGATCAAAATTCGGGGAGGACAATTGGCGGCGGATTTAAGTCCAATGGCCTTTATCTGCTCTCCAGCTACTCTTATGCTCATTTTGTATTAGATTCTCCACTCACTATTCACGCTCAATTGGGTCATCCTAGTCTTACAAAGCTCCAGAAGATGGTGCCACGTTGGTCCAAGCTGTCTACTTTGCAATGTGAATCATGTCAATTTGGAAAACATACTCGCAGTTCTTTTCCTGATAGAGTCAATCGTCGTGTCTCCTCTCCTTTTAGTTTGGTTCACTCTGATGTCTGGGGACCCAGTCGTACTGAATAACTCGGGGTTATAGATTTTTTTACCTTTATTGACGATTATTCTCGAAACACTTGGTTATTTTTACTGAAAAACCGCTCTGAGTTGTTCTCCATATTTCAGAAGTTTTATCATGAAATTTTTACTCAATTTGGTATTAATATCCGCTCTTTTCGTAGTGATAATGCTCGTGAGTATCTGTCTCAACCATTTCAATCATTCATGGCCTCTCACGGCATTCTTTATAATAACCCTCATTAGTAGTTGTGGATTTAGTATTGAAGAATAATTAGCAGTAAAAGAAATAAAGTCACCTTTGGTGAAAAATGAGTTAAAATGACAGTTAAGAGGTAAAAATACGGGTAAATAAAGTTATCCAAAAAGTGAAAGTAAAAATAGAAATATGACTAGAAAAATATTCTAGTCCATTGGGTAAAGTTTGGTTATGAATGGAGGTGTGTAAATAGATAAACCTTTACCCAGTTGGATTTAAGTTGACGTATATAAGTGAAATTTCAAAAAAAGTTACTATTCCTTCTTATTTTCTTCTCGCGGACGACAGTGAGGGAGGAAGAGAATGAGATTTTGAAATCCAATCTTCCAAGGCTCATGACTTGAGCTAGAAAACTCCAAATCACTCCGTTCCAAAGCCAAACTTATGAGAAATTTCGAGAGGAATCCATTGGTACCAGTATTTCTGGGTGGGTTTCATTGTAGAGAGAGATCCTCCTCCTCCAAGATTTCGGATTTCATGGATAATGAGGATTTTGATGGAGCTTGAAGCCATGGGAGCTTGAAGTAAGCCTTCCCCTTCGTTCTAGGTAAGTTTATGTTGAGAAATCTTGGTTTTCTTTTAGTTTTGAGGAAGATTGAATTTAGGTTTTCATTTTGAAAATTTGGTTTGATTGAGCATGTTAGAGCTTGATTCAGGTTTAGCTCATGTTGAGAAAAGTGTTTGGATGAGAATTTTAACGGTGAAAATGTATTTGGAAAAATTAAAGATACCGTATTTTTGAATAGTGTCGTATACGTGAATAGTGACGTATACATGAATAGTACTGTAGAGATGAACAGTATCGTATAAATGAATTAATGAATCTTGGATTAGAGGTGTCTGATAAGCTTGAATTTGATGGACTAAAGCATTGGAATCATGAAGTTGGCATGATTTCCTTTATGTGTCTCTTAGCCATTTTCAAAGGAAGTATGTGCTATGAGTTACTGTTTTATAAAGCGAACATACTTTTTTGCGTGGAATGATATTCTAAGGTGTATGGACCTTCGCTTTGGTGAAAAAAAGAAAAGAAAATAAGGTAGGTCCTTGTATGGCCTTAAAATGAGTTTTGGCCATTTTCAAAGGAGGTATATGTTCGGAGATATTGTTTCGCAAAGTGAGAACACTTATATGCGTAAAATAATTTATATAGGTGGTTAAGCTTGGGTTTAGGCACTAGACAAAGAGAAATCTTATAGCTCCTTTGTAATGGGCATTCTGCTTTAAATTGGGAAAAATAGGCTTTTAGGTGTTAAGAAGAGTAATGAGTGTTCTAAAGGCCTTTTGGGACTATCCTAAGACTAAGTGAATATGTGGAATTTTGTGGGGATTGGTTAAACAAAGAACCACCCACTAATGACGTAATATGATTAAGTAAAAAGAAAATAAACAATAAAGTGTGTGTCTTGTAGATTTACATGGCATTATATCATTTTATTGAGTTTTGTGTTGAATTCCTTCTTTAGGTGTGCCTAGGGACTGTGAACGTTTGGATTCTCGTGGAGCAAGATAAGTAGCTTGTTCTTCAAGTAAGCAATTGTAAGGGTCCGAGAGGTAAGCTCTATGTTTAAGGAGTCTTTTCCTACTTGAGTGCTCCACCATAGTTAGTGGACTATGGTTGGACTGTATGACTGTATTGATATTCTGTATAGGTGCATTCATATAGAGTTATTTGATGATATGATATGATATGATATGATATAATTTCTGTATTGATTTCTGGTACACTGATGTCTTCTTGGGGTTTTCCTGAGATTGACAATGTACACCTCTGAGATACTCTGGTTCCGCTCGGGGTCATCCCTTGGGAACACGTGCTTTGATTTCCGCATGGGGTCATCCCTTGGGAATGACGGCGCACGCCTCTGATATGATTTCTGCATTGACGAATGGTACACTGATGTCTTCTTGGGGTCTCCCTGAGATTGATGATGTACACCTTTGATATGTCTGGTTTCGCTTTGGGGTTCTCCCTCGGGAACACGTGCATTGATTTCCGCTTGGGGTCCTCCCTTGGGATTGACGGCGCACGCCTCTGATATGATATGGATATATGCTTTGTTTTGTTATGATGTAAAACGTGCGTTGATTTCCGCTTGGGGTCATCCCTTGGGAATGACGGCACACACCTCTGATATGACTTGAATACATGTTTGTTCTGATTCGATATATGTTATATTGAATACCTGTTTTGTTCTGTTCCGATATCTGTTATATATGCATTGTATACTCTGTATCTGACTTTCATGCAAGAGTGAGCCAGGGGTATGGAGAATTCTCTATAAACCTGGAGCTTATTGAGATTTGTAATCTCACCCCTCTTTGGGGACATATTTTCAGGTGCCCAGATTTTTCGTGAGACCTCACTAGACAGGGACGCGAACCGTGGTTGAGGCATTGGGGACTGATCAGTTTTTGAGTAGTTGTAGGCTGCTACCCCTTTTGGAGTGCATGTATATTATTTCGTATCTCCGCATTTGATGGATCATGATGTTGAATCCATTTACTTGGTATATGGCCTGTATATGTCTTGTACATGTTCTTTAGTTTGATGCATGTACATTTTTGTATTCAGGCATGTTGATATGACCATGTAGTATTCAGTTATGCTTATGTATTGGATTGCATGCTGTTAGATTAGTTGCACAGAGCCAAGTTCTGCATGCGCCCATGGATGGGTATTTGATTATATTTGCATAACTGGTATTTCTGGATATAAACACTGTTGAAACTGTTTATCAGGAACTCTTGGGAGTGGGATTGGAAAATCCCCAGTTGTCCGATTTACAGAGGTTACTCTGTCCGATTTTCGGTTATGCTTAATAAGAAGTTAAAAAGAAAAAGAAAAAGTTAGCTCGTATTTCTGCAAGTTATGTCTTCCGCTGTTTCTGTTTATATCATATGCATGTTAATTGAACTGGCTCGAGACGGGGATGTTACATTCTTCACCACACATCATGTGCGCACACCCCCCAACAAAATGGGGTTGCTGAAAGAAAAAATCATCATCTTATTGAAACAGCTCGAACACTCTTAATTCATGGGAATGTTCATACTAGTTTTTGGGGTGATGTTGTTCTCACCGCATGCTATCACATTAATCGCATGCCTTCCTCTGTCCTTGGTAACCAGGTACCATACTCTATCTTGTTTCCCCATCAGCCTTTACATTCCTTACCCCTTCATATTTTTGGTTCTACTTGTTTTGTCCATGAACTCGGTCTCAATCGTGACAAGTTGTTTGCCAAATCCCACAAATGTGTGTTCCTCGATAACACCCGGACACAAAAAGGTTATAGGTGTTACTCTCCTAGTCTTCGTCGCTCTTTTGTCTCGGCGAATGTTACTTTCTTTGAGTCTGTGCCATTTTTTGGCTCCACCTTCGTTCCCGATGACTCTGTTGATACTCAATTACCTTTACCCTTTGTTCCAATTCAATATGTTCCGGTACCAGATTCCACACCCCCACTGCCTACTGTCACCTCTCCATATGTCCCAGCACCAGATCCTTCTCTCCAGGTTTATCACCGACAGTCACATCCACCAATACATTGATGAGGTTCCTATGGACTCAGATCTGTCGTCATCAACTCCTGCGGATTCGGTCCCGCCCTCTGACATTGACTTACCCATTACTCTGATACCATGTTGAATATCATGAACAAGGATATTTATAAGTAATCCATGTGTCTCAACTACATAGCGGAAAGTTTATTATATAACTTAAAAGAAAGAAAATACAAAGAGATATTCATGATATGAGACTTCTATACTACTATTCTAAACTATTATTTACAACAATATCTATAAACTCCGAAATTTAAAGATTTTCTTTTCTATAACAAGAGCAATTAGTGGGAGAAATAAATAATTAAGGAAGTTTGTTGGAGGGTGCCATTCTTCCCTTACCTTGCTTGAAAGGTATCAGTTTTGGAATCATAGCGAACTAAGGCGTCGCTAACGACTAATCCCTGAAAGAAGATGAAGAAAAATAAAAAATAAAAAAGGAATTCATATCAAGAATTTCATAAAGAAAACTGTAACTCTTAGAAGGTGAAAATAGCTAATTGAAGCCTTTACCTTGTAGACTTGAGCTGAAAACCAGAACTTGCCACTCTCTAGAGAGAAATACAAAGTCATCATAAAGTTATTTGACAATCTTCTAAGATGGTTACAATCTTCTAAATATGACCCAAGATAAAGCATAGGCCAAGCACCAGCGAAAGACCCCAGTGATCCTTTCTGTTTGATATGTTGATTCAAGTGATTTCCTTCCTCCTTTGCTGTTGTTATATGCCATTGCCACTCTTTGTAAGCAGCATCACCAATGACTCTACCCCATTTCTGCTTTACGTGGTTATCCCACAAATGATCACTTCTACATCTATCCCTTAAACAAGTACACACTTCACACATTTTGATGAGTTCCATTGGTGAAAGTCGTTTGAGAATGCATTCCAAAGTGGATTCAGGCAAATTCATGAGAGAGATATTACCACCCTTTTTAATATTCTCCATGTCTCAGGCTACTTTCTTTGATTACTTATTGCCAAAGAAGGATGAATATATCCGACACAACTAGCGTGCATCGTGCTTCCCTTTATGAACAGAGCACAAGATCAAATCTCTTCTAAAGGAATTGCAATTCTTTGTTTGTTTCGAAGCATTTAAAGATGGGATTTATAAAAATAATGCCTTAGTAAAATGATTGTACCATGTTATAGAAATTCCAAAAGTGCAGCCCACAGATTTAAAAAAAAAAAAAATCACATATTTGGATGGATCTACCGGAATTAGATCCACTTTCTTGCAACATGACCAAACCAGAAACCTATATTGTCTTAAAAGTGTTTCCCATCAGGCTCAAATCCCAAAGAAAATCAATAGAAATGGGTGACTAAGAACATTGATTTTGTTAAAATATAATATAATAAAAAATAATAAATGCAACTTTACCTGAGGGCTTAATTTTTTGAGTTAAAATCATAGAATATATTATCTTGGAATCTATAGTTTGATTCTGTTGCCCATTTTTTCAATTAAAAATATTAATAATTTTCATATGTTCCGATGAAATCAAGTGTTAATTGTTATTTGTTTCCATTTAAGAGACCTTTTGGTCGTTTCTTATGATGATGTATGTCTTATGTATTTGTTTCTCGTTGACCATGCCGGCTATTCCTTGGGTGGCATGTCGTATTTTCAGCCTAGGCGTAAATTTCGGACCAATTTTTTGTTTTTTTAGGCATAGAGTATTTTTTATGCTATTTTTTTTTAAAAGTTATGCTTACTATTATTTTAGATTTATTACTCTTATTATCTAATTGATTACCGTTAGATCAATTTGAAATCAATTATTAAAAAATGAAAAAAATTAACAACTGTTAATTTCAAATTAATCCCACGGTAATCAATCAGATAGTAAGAAATATGGGTGATTGTCGTTAGATTGACAAAGTCGGCTCATTTTCTGCCAGTGAGAGTGAACTTCTCCATGGAGAGATTGACTCAGCTCAATATCAGTGAGATGGTGAGACTTCATGGCGTGCCTGAGAGCATTGTCACTAATCGAAACCCAGAGTTCACCTCTCATTTTTAGGGCACATTGCAAAGAGCTTTTGGCACTCATTTGAGATTGAGTACTACTATCATTCTCAGACAAATGGTCAGACTGAGTGAACCATTCAGACTCTAGAGGATATACTAAGAGCTTGCACTCTGGAGCATAGTACTGCACGAGATAGGTACCTTCTGCTAGTAGAATTTTCTTATAATAACAGCTTTCATGCTAGTTTAGGCATATCTCCCTACGAAGCCTTGTTTGTCGGAGGTGTAGAACTCCTACATGTTGGTCTGAGGTTAGAGATAAGGAATTGTTTGAGCCAGATTTTGTGCAGGAAACCACTGAACAGGTTAAAATGATAAGAGATCAACTGAAAAAGGCTTAGAGTTGCCAGAGGAGTTATTATGATCACAGACATCGACCTCTTGAGTTCAAAAAGGGAGATCATGTCTTTGTGAGACTGTCGACGGTGACTGGTGTGGGGCGAGCTCTTTGAGTGAGGAAGTTGAGTCCCGGATAGGGAGGACCCTATCAGATTCTACGTAGAGTGAGACCAATTGCCTACCTGCTTGTCTTATCTCCACAATTGGCTAATCTGCATGTGTTCCACATTTCTCAGCTTGAGAGATATATAACAAATGCTTCTCATGTTGGTCAAGCGGATGATATTCAAATTCAAGAGAATTTGAAGACTCCGACCAGCGATTCCAGCGGTTTTAAGTAATGCCCCTTCAGCGAAACTCTTTTTTTCTTTTTCCAACTAGTTTCCCCCTCTCCCCCCCCCCATGAAAAAGGGTTTTCCAACTAGTTTTTCCTTATTCTTTTTTTAACATCTCCTTGCGTCCTCAGATCTCCATCAGCCTTAGCTCCACTATCAATCTTCTTCGACCACAATCAACAGTTTCATCTCTCTCTCTTTATGGACTAACAAATTTTGTTATTCTTCGCATTCTTTGCTGATTTCGATTTAGGGTTTTTTGTGTCCTTATAATAAGGACCTTATTAGTACAATTGTGTGATCTTGATGATCGTTCCTCCTACCCCAAAAAAAAAAAAATTGTTATCTTTTTTATGGGTCCTAGTTTCTGGTTGCTGAAGTGTTGAGATATATAATCCCACGTTGATTGTGTGGGCAACTAATGTGGCCTTTATAAGGCCTTGGGCACTTCTACCTTTTGAGCTAACTTTTGGAGTGGTGTATCCCAAAATTCTTTACACGAAGGAGATTTAAAAAAAAAAAATAGATCCGCTGGTGGGAGGAGTGCACAAATAGTTAAAATAAAATAAAATAAAAAACTATTTCGTTGGGGTGAGCGGCAGTTCTCAAACCCATTATGAGCCCTGAGCGGAACCAAACGCCCTCCAGTGGTAAAACGTTGCCACCCAATACCAAATAAGTAATATTAAATAGCCAAAGACCACAAATGAGTCAAAGAGTCAATATACGACACGTATTATGTACTAATTGACCTATAATCAAGCCGTACCATTTAAAATCAGAATAAATAAACAGAGTTTGGTTTCCAGTGTGTCAATGCTCACTTTAATATATATATATATATATATATATATATATATATATATATATATATATATATATATATATATTCCATAAGGTAAAGTTCAGTTAAACAAGGATATATTCCATAAGGTAAAGTTCAGTTAAACAAGGATCGAGTCAGTGTATATTTATATTTCTCTAAGAGATGTATTCAAAAAATAAATATTTCTCTAAGAGCTATTTGTACTTGAATGTGGATATTGCACGCATTAATTTCTCGGTTTTATGTTATGTCGACTTAATTTCACAATAATATTTTCTAAGATGAAGTGGTAAGAGCTTCTTCCATCTTTCGATCTCCTCCTCATTTTGAAGCTTTCTTATTCCTCCATAGTATTCGGCTTGTTCTTCACATTGTTCCCTCTTTCTGTGTAGCTTTATTCGTCTCATTCTTGACCCTTGAGAGTATTGTTTGAACTCCACGATCAACGTCTCTGTCACCAAAGCAAATTATAAGCATATAACGTGCTAATCTAATAGCATAATTATAATAGAGACTGCTGATATAATTTGAAATCATGTCATCATAGGGTTAAAATTTCAAGGCTGCCAAACTAATGTTATGAAATCAGACACACAAAAAAAGAGAGAGAGAGAAGCATTAAGTCTTGTCATCATGAAGTTATTAATCGCTCAGCCTCAAGATCCACAAATAGCATAGTAAATTATGTCCTGCAACTGGGTCATTTTCATTATCAGATGTTTGGAATAATCAAATTAAGAGTTTAATTGAACATGATAACACAAGTGAATACGAGACAAACCAAATAATGTAATAAAATCTCTCACCGCAGTAACGACAGCGGCAGTCATTCTCGTTCTCATTACATGAGTCCATGTGACCAATAACACCATACCACCAATCTGCAAATCATTCGTTAGACATTAATGTGTGATAATTGATAAACCTTGTTTAAGAAAACTTGGTAGCGATAGAGAACAGAATTTGAGAGAAATGTACAAAGAGCAAAATATAGAAATGATAGAATGATAATAGTATAGAAAGGATATAAAAGCTATTGGTGAATGGATCCTTTCACATTTTATTTTAACATGATTACAACAATGATTTGTTCACATTTTATTTTAATATGATTGTTGATTTGTCAATGAATGACTAAATTTGTTCACAGGAAATGATTATATAAAATTATCCAATATTGCATACTAATAAATATCTAAGTAATCATATCCTAACTAATCATCAACCAACCCAATTACTATGGTAATACCTAAAGTAACATTTATCATTTTTCAGGTGAAATCATATAGAACAGAAGTTAACATGCAAACCAAAAGATAATGAATACTGTATATGAACTTGATGCTGACCTAATGTTCAATTAAAGTTTCCAACTTAAAATTGGATAAAGAGAAGTGGCGGTGGTAAGAAAACTACCATAATAATTTTGTCTTCCTAACCTCCGTTGGATCTCAATATGATCTCCTGGCTTTAAGTCTTCTAAACAATCAGAGACGTATCGAACACATGCAGAAGTTTCAACTGGGCAAGCTCTCAGCTTATGCCATTGGACATTGTTCCCCCTTCGTAGCGAACCACCATTTTGTTGCCTTAAAGAAATTATGCATTAAATCACAAGGTATCATACTCAAATTTACTAGCAAACCAATTAAGTCACTAAATTTATTGTTAAATGGGTCTTGTGAACCTGGCCCACCCTAAGAAGCATTTATTTATTTGTATTAAACCATCTTAACTACCCAAAAAAAAAAAAAAAACTAAATATTTTGGAATTTTTAACATATTAAACGTTTCGAATTTTTGTTTAAATTATTGAAAAAAGTTTACCGATGTCCATGTGGTTTGCTTCAAAATCATGTTCCTGTAATTTTTTTTTATCACATATGCTTCTTTGCTTTGTAAAAAATAAAAAATCACAGGGACATATGTGATAAAAAAACATATCCTTTTGCAAATCACATGGAACACAAGTGATTCTGAAACAAACCCATAACGGCATCGGTGAACTTTTCCCTTAATTATTTATACAGTGATTTCTTATTCTCATGTTAAAAACCTTACTAAATATTACATGTAAAATTTGGAAAGGGATTAAAACTACATTTTCTGGTCAGAAACGTGGGTATTAAGATTTAAACTACCAGATGTGCTATTATGTGCTGTGTTGGGAAAGCAAAACTGATTTTAGCGAAAGACTCTTCATAATCTATAAACTTTGAAATTGTTAAAATCTTTAATATAATAGAGTAGCAGAAGTTCAGTATTGTCATTCTCCCCTTACCTTGCTTGAAAGGTATCAGTTTCGGAATCATAGCAAACTAAGGCGTGGGTAACCAATAATCCCTGAAACAAGGAATATAAAGAATTACATAAAAAGAATTTCTCAGTGAAAATAATAACACACAAAAGATGAAAATAACTAATTGGAGCCTTTACCCTGTAGACTTGAGCTGGAAACCAGAACTTGCCATTCTCTAGAGACAAATACAAAGTCATCATAGAGTTATTTGACAATGAGCTATTAAGATGCTTACACTCTTCTAAATATGATCCAATGCATAGCAAAGGCCAAACAACACTGAAAGACCCCAATGATCCATTCTCTTTGCTATGTTGGTTTAAGTTGTTTACTTCCTCCTTTGCTGTTGTTATATGCCATTGCCACTCCTTGTAAGCAACATCACCAATGATTCTGCCCCATTTCTTCTTTACGTGGTTATCCCACAAATGATCACTTCTACATCTATCCCTCAAAGATGTACACACTTCAGACATTTTAATGAGTTCTATTGGTGAAAGCCGTTTCAGAATGCATTCCAAAGTGGATTCAGGCAAATTCATGAGAGAGATATTACTACCCTTTTTAATATTCTCCATGTCTGAGGCTTCTTTCTTTGATTACTTATTGCCAAAGAAGGATGAATATATCCGATACAGCTAGTGTGCAGCGTGCAGCGTGCTTCCCTTTATGAACAGAGCACAAGATCAAAGCTCTTCAAAAGGAATTGCAATTCTTTGCTTGTTTCAAAGGATATAAAGATGGGATTTACAAAAACAATGTTGGAGGAAAATAATTATATCATGTCTTCTTAGAAACATCAAAAGCGGAGCCCACCAATTTTTCTAACATTAAAAAAAGCGAAAAATTACTCTTACGTTCAGTTTTATCTCCTACACACTCATCGAAAATGGTGACATTCATTTTTCTTTGTTTTTCTTTTTTCTTTAAATGACGGGTCTCACCACATATGTGTCACGACATGAGAGAAGATCTCTCTTTCAACATAAAATTAAATGAACCCTTAAGAAAAATATCACACATTTCGAAGGATCCACCGGAATCAGATGCACTTTCCTGTAACATAATCAAACCATAACCCTTTAAGGTGGTGTTTGGTTGGGAACTTTTCAGCGGATATCTATGTTTCTCAAGTATGGCTTTTAGAAACGTCATGTTTGTTTCAACGTATTTTCACCAAAAACTCATCTATCCAATTTGTATGGATTTATGAGAAACATAGATATCCGCGCTGTTTAGAAACCCAATTTGAAGGTGAGATTTGTCGGAAAATCGGTTATCTAGTTTTTAATGCACTGTTGATTTCATAAAGTTATCTAATTTTTCCAATAAAGTTTTTCCTCACCAAACAACTTTTTTTTACATTTTTCTATCTATCTCACTTTATCTATCTTTCCAATCATTTCTCTATTTATTACATTTTCCTACTATTCCAAAAAAATTTCCTCAACCAAACGTCTCCTAAAGATATTGTCTAAAAGTGTTTCCTATCAGGCTCAAATCCCAAACAAGATGAATATAAATGGGGTGACTAAGAACATTGATTTTGTTAAAAAAATAATATAATATAAAATAATAAATGTAATTTATCGGAACAATGACAATTTTGTGACTGTTGGAAAAAAAACACTAAAATGTCACGTTACTAGTAAATTTTGTCAAAATACCACGTGACATATTTCGTTACACTGTATAGCGAAATATGTATACAAATAATTCGCTACACGGTGTAGTGAAATATGCCGCGTCAGAATGCACAGAACCAAAAATGCCACGTGTCAAACAGGGAGAATTTCGCTGCACTGTATAGCGAAATTCTCCCCGTGTGACACGTGGCATTTTTAGTTCTGACGTGACATATTTTGCTACACCGTGTAGAGAATTATTTACACATATATTTGGCTACACAGTGTAGCGAAATATGCCATGTGGCATTTTGATAAAATTTACAGTTAGCGTAGCATTTTGGTGTTTTTTTTCCAACAGTGGCACTGTTCCGTAATTTACCTAAGGGCTTAATTTTTCGAGTTAAGATAAGAGAATATATTATCTTGGAGTCTAGAGTTTGATTCTGTTGCCCATTTTTTCAATTAAAAATATTAATAATTTTCGTGTGTTCCGATGAAATCAAGTGTTAATTGTTATTTGTTTCCATTGACGAGACCTTTTGGTCGTTGCTCATGATGATGTATGTCTTATGTATTTGTTTCTCATTGACCATGCCGGCTATTCCTTGTGTGGCATGTCGTATTTTCAGCGTAGACGTAAATTTCGGACCAATTTTTTGTTTATTTTAGGCATAGAGTATTTTTTATGCTATTTCTTTTTTTTTAACATAAATGGAATTTTAGCATGTTTGTCTACTAACCAATTTAAAAGTACGACTGTTTGCCAATACGAAGGACCTTAAAGGAAATAGGTTACGTTTTTAAGCCAGAGCTTTATAAAAGCCAGATCAAGCCTGAAAGGGACTTATGTCGAGTAATAGGCCATGTTTTGGCATTGTATTTAAAAAATAAATCAGTTCAATTATTTGATAGAAATTCTGAGCTAGCCTAATTCATTATTGTTTTTATCGGTGACACGAGCTCCAAGAGCCTAAATGTTTTGGACATTAGTTCAAAGAGATTTTCATGGTGGGAGTGGTTTCAACTCTCAATGAAAACACAAATTATTACGAACCTTGAGATCATCACCCCAAAAACTAGCTCAAATTGTGAGAGTGTTCAAGGTTTTATAAACCTCACATTAGTTTCTTATATAATCAATGCGGGACTCGTAACATTAAACCTATTAAATTAATTTGGCTCAGCTTTTGAGAAGAAAAAATTACTTAACCCAAACCAAATCAGCTTGATCAAATCTGTGTTACTTAGGGTTGGATTATCAACTCATGTAGATATTTAAATTTTTTAAAACGTTTATTTTAACAAATCAATAATAACATTAAAATAATAAAAATATGAACCAATTATAACTTGGCTTGATAATCAATATCTGAATCCGAACTACTCTCTTCCAGTAGCAAGTATTGTGAGGCCACAAATTCAGGCAAATAATTTTGAGATCAAGGCATACATTCTGAACTTGATTCAGAACAACCAGTTTGAGGGGAGCTCTTCTGAAGATCTGAATTAGCACATCACTATTTTTCTGCAAATATGTGAATTGATGAAGATTAATGGAGTTCTACTAAGGCAACCTATATGACACTTTTTCCATTTTCTCTGAAAGGAAGAGCAATGAGTTGGTTGGATCTGCAACCTCCGGGTAGTATTATTCATGGGATGATCTTATTGCCAAATTTCAGAAGAAATTCTACCTACTCTCTAGATTCTTTGAGCTGAAAGATCATATTGACAACTTCAAGCAATTGGAGGGAGAGTCATTGTGTATTGCATGGGGAAGGTTTAAGGAGCTGATGAGAAGATGCCCATATTATGTGCTTTCCAATGGTGAAAAGGTTCGCAACAGGGCACTACTTAATGTTGCAACTGGAGGACGTGTGGGAGAAATAACACCAACCAAAGCTCTGTAGTTGATAGATAAGATTACATATGAAGACAATGACGTTGCTTCGGTACACCCCAAGAAAGGAATTCTGCAATTGGAAGGGTATGATGCAATGTAGCAGCTGAAGACACTTACAAAGTTGTTTAGTCAGTCTTATATCTCATCCATCAATACTCAATTTCCTGTGGTCTGTGATATATGTGGTGGAGCTTATACTAGTGATAATTGTAATGCAACAGTTGTGGTAGACGTAGCTCAAGTGTACTATTTGGTTAATAACCAGAGAAGGGAGAATAATCCATATAACAACACTTGCAATCCTAGCTGAAGAAATCATCCAGCATTCTCTTACAAATCTGCATCACAGCCAACAAACTTAAGTATTCAACCGGCGCAGCCTAAACCTCCTCCTGATTTGGAGAAAGCTCTTGAGAAGTTGAATTTGTCTATTGCGGATTTCATACAAGAGACCAGAGCATCTATGAAGAATCAAGAGGCTTCAATTAATAATCTAGAGAATTAGATTGGTCAGCTTTTCAGGAAGATAGCTGAGAGGACACCATGTACTTTTCCTAGTGACACAATTGTTAACCCTAAGGAGCATTACAAAGCAATAAGTACTACAAGGAGTGGGATAATAATTTAACTAGTGGAGAAGACTATAGTTGCACAGAGCAATGACAGTAATGCCGAGAGTGAGAAGCCTATTGATGAGAAGGCAGAGGATACATCATATGAGGAAGTCATAATTATTGGTGGAGAGTTGAATGATAAGGTTCACACCTCAAGGAAAATGTGAAGAAGATTTCTAAGGAGTAGAAGAAGCCACTTAAAATATCTCCTTATGCTAAAGCTCCTTATCCTCAAAGACTCAAGCAACAAGCTCAAAAACAGCAGTACATGAAGTGATTTTTTATATTTAAGTATTGTTCGTGCTATGTTCTCTTACATAGAAGCGAAACATCCTGAATAAAAAATATGATATGAAATCTTTACAAGAAAAGAATCTGTTAACTATTATGTCAGTTAGCTAGTTTCTCGCATTAGAGAAATGGGCATGGCTATGTGCACTGTAGAAGTAAAGTTAGCAAGGATATATTTGGTGCACTGTAGAAGTAAAGTTAGCAAGGATATATTTACAAGGAGGGAAAATGATATTTTTTTTGTTATATGCCTTGGATACCTTCTGTTTATTAGTTGACAAACAATATTATCGTGAATTGTTAAAAATTATATTCAATTTCTCAACCATATTGATTTTGTCCTACCTGCTTAATTGTGGTTCTCACTTTCATTTATCTGTTCAGGAGTTATAGTGTTAGCTTTTGGATAACTATTATATAGTAATTATTTTCAAGGAAATCTTTAGATATTTAACAAGTAAATAATGAATTAGCTAACAAATCAAGTGATGCGCCCAATTTTCAAATTATGATATATAAATCTTTTAATCTTTAGATACTTGCAGTCTAAACTTGTCATAAAATATGACAAATAGTGGAGGTTTAAATCTGTCAAAATGATAAAAAAATTATGGCGGTTAACATTTGTGGCGGTCTGGAACCTCCAAAAAAATGCAATATTTGTTGGCGTTCGGAACCTCCAAAAAATGATATAACATTTGTGGCGGTCTGGAACCTCCAAAAATGTAATATTTGTGGGTGCTCCTCATGAAGACACATCGAGTGAAGTTCTTAGCAGAAAGTTCATCAATATGTTTCTTCAGCTTAGCCAATTCCAATGGTGACATTCGCTATGAAGTCCAAGAAATAGGTCACACACCAAGCAGTAGATTTTGATTTGATTTTGATTTTGATTTTGATTTGGAGTTTTTTTTGTCATTATTACAATTGTGTGATCTTGATGTTCGTTCCTCCTGCCTCCACCCCCTTCCCAAAACAAAATTGTTATATTTTGATGGGTCCCGCTTCCTGGTTGGTGAAGGAGAAGTAAAAAATAATAATTCTGGTGGGGGAGGGAGCAGAACTAGTTAAAAAAAACCTAGTTTCACTGGGGTGGGTGGCAGTTCTCAAACTCGTTGGGACCCCTGACCGAAAATAAACGC